CAGATGAGTTACTTTCTCACAAAAGCCTGAAAATGGATTCAGGGCAGCTTGTAAGTGTTGTGGGCTTGCCTTGAGTGTCAAACTGCCAGTCTCTTTTCACAGGGCCACCTGGCCTACTTTCTGGATGAGACATCTCCTACTCCACCCATGAGGTCAAACTGTGCTTGGCTTGGCTTACTTCTTTTTACTGCATTATCCTTTTCCTCTCTGTGCCTTTCAGCTTTCCTTTCATTACCCCCGTGGATTTCCAAAGCCCTTCCTGCTTTGCTCTCTTTGAAAAAGAGACCACTTTTTTTTTTTTTTTTTTAAACTGACTCTTCTTCATGGAATCACAGAGAGAACAATTGTATTCAGTCATCTTACCCAGAAGTCAAACACGTGGCTTTAAGTTAAAGTTAAAGTTAAAATTTTCATCATATTCATTGCATGGAGGAAAATGATTCTCGAAATACTAGAATTTTCATTTGTTGGCTTTCAACTTAGCTACAGTATAATAGGGTTTACACTGAATTTGTATGAGTTAAAAGTAACCTACAGCCTTATGTATCTATAGAATGTCATAAGATTTTAAATAATGAGTTTGAAGTTAATACTACCTTAATTTGAGGGTTCTCATATTTACATGAGAGAATTTCAGCAGGAGAGTGTGTTATTTGTTATTCCCAAAGAAACAACTTAGTCCAAAGAAGTTGTCATATTTCACCGTGGTCAAATTAGGATGATACCATGATTTCTGTCCACTCAGGCATATTTCTGATTGTTCTTAACCTTATTGGAAGATGAATACAAGTTTATTTTTGTTCATAACATCATATAAACAGGTGACATGTCTCTGATTGATCAATCAATTTTGGAAAGTATTTCCAGGGTCAGGATTAGGAGAAATGCCTAGGACTGCTTCAGATGTTTTAAAAGGTTAAAAGTACCTGTAAGCTCAGTTCATTATGTTAAAGAGTTTACATAGGAGATACAAAATGTCATATTGAGTTTTTCTTTTTATGTCTTGATTTTATTTTGGTACCTGTTATATCTGGTAGAAGAAAAATATGTTGGCTAATCTTTTTAAATTTTCAGCAGTGAAGACTCACTTCGAAGGTGAGTTCCTTCATTTGGGTACTTCAGACCACAGTTACTTTTTCTGCCAGAGAGCCTTTGGATCCTTGAAAAACAAAGAAGTTTATGAGAAATTATTTATACCTACATCCTGATTTGAAATAATGGCATTTTTTTCTCTCTCTCAGGGCCTTTGCCCATGCTTTATTTCCTTTATGGGTCATTCTTCCTGTAAGGTTAGTCCAACAGATTTTTTTTCTGTCTTTTAAGTTCTTTCCCTATAAGCACAACTATCACTCAAGTAAAAGACTGTCATATATAACATTTCCAGATAACGTATAAAAATGTATCAATAGTAACTTGCAGAAACTAGAATTGAGGAAAAGGAAGGTTTTACTTTCCCTTTATAGCTTTTTCTGACTTACAACCTTTTTGTCTTCAGGAGATATGGATTCTCTAAATTTTCTCTCTTTTTTTGATTTTTTTTTTTATGTGTATGAGTGTTATGCCTGCATGTGTGTAAGTATACCTGTGTCATGCAGTGCCTTCAGAGGACAGAGAGGGCATTGGATTCCCCTGAAACTGGAGTTACAGACAATTGTTAGCCACCATGTGAGTGCCGGAAATCCAAAGCGGGACTTCTGCAAGTACAGCTAGTGCTCTTAACCACTGAGCCATCTCTCTAGCCCGAATTCTCTGTTTTAAAGAAGTTAATCAATATTATACTTTAGCAGAATGAAACTTGCATGAGATATTTGTGAATCCCAGGTGCTCTATTGTTACTCCATATTGAATTAATTTCACAATGCACCTGGCTTGCATTCTTTGCATCCTACATCCGGCACAGGACTAGTGGTGTGCTCTTGTCAATGCCTGTGATGCTTTTTTTCTATAGTTACTTTGCATTTGTCTGTCCATCCACTCACAAATGCTTATTGAGCATCATTCTTTCATGGAACTAGATTCTGACTTCATAGTTACTGACTCTATGGGACTTATACTCTTTAGGGTCACATAGGCTGCATAATTTTGATAGCATATTATTTTAAACATGTGAAGAGAAGAAACAGTTGCAGATTGGTGAATGCAATAGTAAAAACTGATAGAGGACCTCAGAATTTAACAAGTGTAGAAGGCACCTCTCATTAGATTGGCCAGTGGCTGCCTGCTGCAGAGAGTCATGAAAGGAACCATTGTTGACACTCGAAACCTCCCCTCACCCCTGGATAGCAGTTGTCAAAATTTGTCATTGAAACAAATGTCTTGTTCAGTTTTGATGACTACTGTTATACCTTGATAGCATCTCTTGTACTTACTTTGTTAAGTTTGGGGGGATGTTTTATAATTGTGTGTTTTTTCCAAATTATCTTCTGAAATCACACAATTATCAAAGCAATTGTAAATTCTATCAAATGATAATTTTTGTTCTTTTTAGAAATAATTTTTTAATTTAATTTTTGGAGAATTTCATACATGAGTATTTATATCATTTCTACTCCTCCACAAATTATTTTTCTGATTGTAAAATTAATATACTTAATACAGAATATTTAAAGAACTTAGCGACTTTAAAAGAAAAACAATTATCCTTGCCACCTGGAGCTAATAATGCAAATAATTAGCATTTTGACATTTTCCCCCAGTGCATCCTTTTGTTTTTCTTTTAATTTTTTGATTGTGCTTCTGAACATTTCATGCAACAGTTCTTAATCAAATTCAGCCTCCCCTCCCCCATCCTTATCCCCACTTCCTCCATGGGACCGCATGCATTCCACCATACATGTTAAGTCATATCAGTCAAGTGTTTGTCTCCAGATGTCCTTTGGTGAAAATTCATTCACTGGAGAGAGGTTCAGCTGTTAAGAGTACTGGCTGCTCTTGCAGAGGAACCAGGTTCAGTTCCCAGCACCCACATGGTGGCTAACAACTGTTCATAACTCCAGTTTCAGGGGATCCGATGCCCTCTTCTGACCTCTGTGGGCACTCCACGACATGGGTGTACTTACATACATACAGGCAGTACATGCGTGCACATAAAATAAAAATAAAAATAATAAACCAAATGATAATTTTGTTCAAAGCATTAAACATGGAGTTATTTTTGTCTACTTAGGAAGGCCAGTTCCATTTTGCCATACCTACCTGGTGATACTTAAACAATACCACCAAAATGTCCCTTTACTGATATCTATTCTTTCTAGGCAGGGGCAGCAGAATGTGTTGAAAAGAAGAAGTCAGAAACTATCTGTTTTATTCCTTTAGATTAATGATGAGTCATTTATTCCCTGAGTCAACTTGATTCTTATGGTGTTATATTGCCCTGAATATAGGTAGATATACAGCATGTTATAAATATAAGTACTAGTAGTAATAAAACATGTTAATAGGAAGAAATTGGATTGAGTTTTAAACTTACTTGTGCAGGAACATTGTAAAGTAGTTGCATTACGTGGAGTTTTTGCCCAAGTTTATAATACTTTGCTCTTCTGTCCATATCGCTGAAATATTAAAATTTTGTTAGAAATTGCCTCAGACTATGTTCTTTTGGCCAGATTTTTAGACCAGACTTTTATTTTGATCAGTGCGAAATCAACTGGGGCCAGGGCCATTGTATGGTGATGGTAGAGTGTGAAGAGGGTAGGGGTTGAGGAGGTGCTGACTTAGTTAACGGAGTCCCAGATGTGCTGTGGAATAAGACTGAGGCATTTTATTACCTGCATGGCTTCTAGCTGACCTACTCACTAGCAGGGGCACAGGCTCTGGAACGGGTACCCTGCTCATCAGTAAGATCCACAGAGAGTATCTTGACTGCATCATGAATGTCTTCAGTGTGGTGCTTTCATCCAAAGCATTGGACACTATATTTGAGCACCATGGCACTGTTCTTTCTGTCCATTGTTAGCAAAGAGCATCAGTGAAATCTACTATGATCCCCTTTAAGAGGTCTGCTGTGTACCCTCACAATCATCCCAACCTATAGTGCCATGAGCAACATCCTCTCAACCACTGCAAGCAGTATAACATTCTGCTTCCTTGCATAGCTCAGTGCTGTGTCCTCTTCAATCTGTTAGTCATTATGGTGACCTTTTCATGTCCAGGTGGCTTAGCCCTCTCACCAGCTGTGGAGGCCAGAAGTACTGGATTGTTACAGTACTCCACCTCATCCAGAAGGTCTTCCATGCCAAGGGCATGATGGTTGCCTGTGTGCCTCACCATTCCCAGTGCTATTCAGTGTGGCTACTGTGTCTCTTGACAGATGTTCAACATACAGAGGAATGGCATTTACTTTGTGGAATGGCTCCGTAGTGGTATCAAATTGCCCTGAGGCAACATGCTGCCCCATGGTCTCATGATGACAGTTTCATTCTCTGAAAGCAGCTTAGCCATCCAGGAACACTTCAAGAGCCTCTCAGACCAATTCACTATCATGTTCTGCCAGAAGGCCTTCTGTCGTTATGTAGGTGAAAGCATGGACAAGTTGAGGTTCACTCAACTTGAGAGCAACATGATCCACCTTATCACTAAGTATCAGCAGTACCAGGATGTCACTGCCAAATAGGAAGAGGAGTTCCCTGTGGAGACTGAAGAGGAGGATAAGTCGGAGCCTACTTGTAGCCTCAACATCTCAGTTCTTTCAACTGTGTCCTCAACTGCCTTTTTCTTCTCCTTTAGAATTTGTATTTGCTACCTCTGTTGTTTTATTCTCTTAAGGAGGAGGCTAAACCAATGTCTGACTGTGTCTTTGCTTTCCAAATCAGTGTCATAAGACTGTTTCTCTACCTCAGAGACCCTCCAGACCAAATGATGTTGTACTACTATGATTGTTATAAGACTCACTGCATTACTGAAGAGTATGTTAGCAGGCCTATGTCATATTATTTCCTGCCATCTCCTTGTTTGTCCTATGTGCCAGAATCCATTCTACATACTAAAAAAGTAACAAGCACCCGCTGCCTTTGAACTCCCCCCCGAGCCTTGTGGTGCTGGAGGTTAAGCTGCAGAGCCATAGCATGTTGCTCATGTATAACTGGGCCTGCCTGTCCATCACAGGTGGTCCTTTTAACCACCAACTACAGGGTCGTGGGTGAAAAAAAAGTAACAAGCAAACCATGCATACAAACTCTGTTATGTCAAATAATCAGGCTTTTTGAAAAAGAATGTGTTAGATTTGGATGTATGAGCAAATGGTGAGTGGTTTTCTTTATATCAGTAGTTTGTGTTTATTTATTTTGTACACACATATTGACAATTATATTTAGAAGGATTCAATACATTTCACGTGTTCATTGAATGTACCTTTCCAATTGCTGATAACATAGACATAGAGTAATTGTGGTTTCTACCATTAAAGGAGATGTGTGTGTGTGTGTGTGTGTGTGTGTGTGTGTCTGTGTGCACGTGTGTGTGTGTAATGTAATTGGGGATTTTTTTGTGGGTCCCTCTTCCCTCGTGGGTCATTGGCCACTGATCCGTGGGAACAAAGGGAGCAGAAGCTACGAACAGGGTCAGGACGGCTGTGAGTACGACAGAAAGAACTTCTGGGAGTCAGCTTCAGTGAGACAGCTTGTTTATTTAGGGGAGTTGGAGGGAATATATAGGGTGAGGACAGCAGCCAAAGGTTTACCTGATAGGTGTTCATAGTATGCTTTATTTACATGTGGTGGAAGGACCCTATCCTGTAGAAAGGGGAGGTGGGATTGACTGGCTGTAGAGCAATGCCTAATTATCATATGGGAAAACCAGGGGCAGCATTTGCAGGGAACTATGTCAAAGGTCATGTTCCAAATAAGGTCAGGCATCTGTGCTTGGAAACACTTTCCAAATAAGGTCAGGCAGAGAGTAGAAAGCCCCTGCTGAGAAAAGGAGTCCTCCATTTTGAGCAGAGCTTGGAGAGCTGTCTGGACATGGTGGACTATGACCTTAATGGCAGGGTCCCCCAACATTTCTTGAGTGTGGTAAGTATGAGGATACAAGGATTCTTACTTGACAGAGCTGCTTTTATGTCTTAAAGACACTTGTAATGTTTGAAAATGCAGCCCCTGTTGTATTCACATGTCCCTGTGTAGCCTACAGATTTTAAGCATTTTATGGGTATGTGGTTTTTATGAGAGATAGAGTTGGTGTTTCAGAATTTTGCATAAATGAGTGATTTTTAGAATGTCAGGGATCAAATTTTGTTGTGTGTTGATTTGGTTTTCACACACTCGTACTTGTGATTCAAAGAATGAATAGCTGATATTAAATTCAAAGTGAATTTGAATGTTGTTGGGCATGTGCCTTTATTCCCAACATGTGGAATGTAGAGGCAGGCAGATCTCTGTGAATTTGAGGCCCGCCTGGTTCACATAGAGTTCCTGCTCAGTCAGGGATACATAGTGAGACCCTGTCTCAAACAAACAAACAAACAAACAAACAAACAAATAAACAAACAAACAGAAAGTGAACTTGGCCATTCATCTCATTTGGTCTTTTCAGAAGCCTCGGCCTCAAGGATTAGGCATTTCCAATCTACGTTATTGGTTTGGGAGAGGTGATAGATCTCTGGTCTCAGTTTCTTTTATTTTTTTTTCACTGAAGGGAATATTCATTCCCCAAGTGTAAAATAATAAGCACGTGAAGGAAGAGATGAAGATTTGACTTTGTGATCTAAGCCCTCATCTTGAATTCATAATTACAGTGATAATTATAATGTCTTAAGTTTAGAAAGGAATTAGAGAAGAGTGAAAAGCATTATATACCTTATTAAAGCAAATCAATCTGTATTTAATGACAAAGAGCTAAATATTTACAACAGATAAAATTTAACTTAGATTTCATACTTAATAAATCTGTACATTCTTTGAATGTATAAACTTTGACTGAATGACAGTTTAAATTCCTTAAAAATTTCTTTAATTCTTTGAAGTTGTGAAATCGCATAGTCTGTGTCTATCTTTGTAAGATATTTAAGTGGTGAAACACAGGATGATGTTACATAAGGGAGCTAATGGAAGAGTGTCTGCTCTGTGAGGGCTTGTAGTCTAAGACAGATGAAATGCATTTGTTAGAGTATCTGCTCTGTGAGGGCTTGTCGTCTAAGATAGATGATACTCATTTGTTTATTTTACTTGAAAGTACAATGAAGACATAGATACACATTCATTAAGTTAAGACAGAAATAAGTAGAAATAAGTATGATGAACTGTTTAAAGTAGAGCTTTGTGATGCTGTAAAAGTGGCATGTGGTTGGGTCTGAAGTAGTCATGGGCCTTTCTCCTTGGAAGGGATGAGTAGAGTTCTGAGTGAATATAGAGTGACTAACCAAAGGGCACTAGGAGTTATATTTCCCATTCTTTAAACTATCCACGTATTCTACGCTACACCATGCAATGGCATGTTAGCAATGGCCTGAGAAATGAGCTCTAGCTCATTGCCTATTTTGGATGGGGAGACTAAATCTCATACAGCTTAAAGGATTTTCCTGATTCATACCTAGCTTATGAGAAAAACTGTACCAAGATTCAGGTTTTATTATTGATTCTGTTTCTGTTAGACCAAGTTTAAAACATGATAAGAAAACTACAATTATCTTTTAATTAATTAATCTATTAACTCATCTTACAGTTATAAAGGATGTACTATGTAAGAGGCCAGTGGTACTTGATGTGAAAATTACAGAGGTGAATAATACATGACATCTGCTTTCAGAGGACTTGCCATTTATTGTAAAATATAAAAAATTACATTTCTTGTGATATTTGTCAATTGAAAAATAGAGAAAAATACAGGAGCTGAGCAGAGAAGGGTATTGGGGCGAGTTTGTGACTGCTTTGGAGGAAGTGGTAATTGAGCAGTGCTCAAGGGCAGAAAGGTTGTGAAGATATCAAGGAGTTCTGTTAGGTGGCAATAAAACACATGAAGGAAAGGATGGTAGGCCATCAGCTTGGAACATGAACTATTTGATTGTGGAAAATCATTATAGGTCCTTGGACAGGTGCTTAACATTGTTACAAAAGCGGGGGCAAACTCAGTAATGGATGGGTTAATGCTAGGTAAATTTGGGAGAGGGTAAAGAAAGGTTGACTATTTGAGAACTGTGTGGAGCATTGGCAGTACAAAAATGAATGTACACAATTTAGAAGGGAAGTATGACCTGCATAATATGGAGAAAGACAGATATGAGAAAATCAGGGCTCAATGGGATAAAGAGATACCATTAGTTTTCCTGTGACAAACACTTCAAAGATCAGTGGAGTTTTCTTTGCTCTTAATCTCTGCTTGTTTTGCTTCTTGGGTCATAGGCTTCCTATAAGTCAGCCATGAGTCAATCATTGATAGTGACATCTTATGCTAGGTTGTGTCATTACGAGCTGCTTACAGTCACTAACAAGCTGCCCCTGCTTCCTCAGTCACTTGTACAACAAGCGTCTCTGGAGAAAGTGTCATGTGCCAGGCTAGCTGCTAGGTGCTAAGACATAATGATAAGTGAAGGTAGACAGCTTTCTTTTCCTCAAGAGTCTTATAGGCAGGCAAAGAAAACATGGTAAGTAATCAAAGCATTTGTGATGATAATTAATGAAAGATAAACCACAACTCTTATTAATGATCATGACATGTCAAGGGAATGAAAATTCTATTAGTTCATATTTTAATTTGGCACTGAAAGGTCTTTGCTGGTTTCTAGTAATAGTCCATATGAACACTGGAATGAGTAGTCTCTTCAGTGTGTGAGGGGTGAAGAGAGAAGGAGGATTCATGGGGAGGATTCACTGGCTCTGGAGCTCATTACTGTAGACCATAGCAATGCCGGCTGAACACCAGTACCAGTTGGGTGTTGTCTAACAAGTGAATGGCAGTGCTCACAGCTTCAACTGTAACATGGAGAAAATTATGTATATCTTTTAGGATGATGATAACATTTAAATGAAATGTGTAGCTAAAGTATAGTGCCTAATACTAAGTGTTTTCTTTTCTTTCTTCTTCTTCTTCTTCTTCTTCTTCTTCTTCTTCTTCTTCTTCTTCTTCTTCTTCTTCTTCTTCTTCTTCTTCTTCTTCTTCTTTTAATGTCAGTGCTTCTAAGGGAATGGTGTTTGTTTTTCTAATCTGCATGTAGTTTTTGACACTGTCTTCGGTGATCTCCCCCTGGGTAAGAAACCTGAGCTTCTTGCATTGCATCTCCTTTACACAAAAGGACTTATGCCATTTCCTGTTTAGTAAGCAGGCATAGAGATTAATTTACACCTGATGGTACATACTTGCAATCCCAGCATTTTGGAAGCTGAGATAGGAGGATCTTGAGGCTAGCCTAGACTGCATATACTCAGTTTTTAGACAAAATTGAAAATCCTTCAGTGCTTTAAATTTTTCTAATTCTAGTCTAAAATCATATTTACTTAAATTATAAGGTGATATACAGATATTTCTCTTGAAAACAATAATCTGTATCACTTATATAGCATTGGGAAAGCTATTTCTCACCAGTCTTTCTGTGACATGTTATAATTGTTATGTGGGATGGATGCATATACAGATGCTTAAGCGCATTTCATTTATTATAAATAAAGTGGCTTAAAACTAATACTTTAAAAAATAATCACTGCTGCTATTTTCACAAGAAAAAGTAGGAATAAAGAAATGATGATTGTTCTTTTGGGGACAGACTGGTGTCTTGGTTCCTTCATTATACTAGGACACAGATGCAATCTGGAAAACCATCTTCAGAAACACTTCAATACAAAATTCTGGTGTATCCTCAGGAATGCAAAGAAAACTGGGTGGAGCTGAGCATATGGTCTGAAAATTCCAGGACTGTATTTCTCAACTAAGATATCTGTAGGGGATGTCAGTCTTCTCAATTAGCTCCACGGTATAAGAAATATCTGAATATACTTCTTTTAAATCATCCCGAACCCAGCTCTGACCCTGTGGACCCTGTACCCCTCAGCTTGCAAGTGATTTCATCTTAATCATAACAGGGATTCTTCCTATAGGACCAAGGTCCTGGGAGTGGTACCAGAGCAAAATCGCCAGATTAACCCCCTTCCCCATTTCTGAGTCCAAATTAGTGTCTTACTTGATGCCATTGTGCTGCTATTTTTT